TGGATGTTGAAGTCTCCAAGCATAACTAGGGGAGTACCATCCTCAAGAACCCTTTGGTTTGATCCACGTCTCTGTCAGGGCCATGAGGTTTAGTCTTGAATGACTTGTAATAGAAGTAATAAAATCTGCATTGTTTACAGCAGGCAAGCAATTCCAGAGACCAATAGAAAAAGAAAGTAGTGTATTAGTAGACATAGGCAAAGTGCGCAGGTTGTTAGGATTGCGCTGCCTACAGTGTGTGATGCATGGTATATATATATATATATATATATACACACATACACACACACACACACACACACTACCATTTAAAAGTATTGGGTTGGTAAGATTTTTAAAAATGTTTTTTAAATAATACTCTTATGTTCACCAAGGCTGCATTTATTAGATAAAACAGAAATATTGTTCAATGCTATTATAATTTAAAAGAGCTATTTTTCTATTTGAATATATTTTAAAATGTTTTTTTTCCCCAAAAAATTACCTACTGACCCCAGACTTTTGAACAGTAGTGTAGATTTAGTCTTGTCCCATTGTATGTATGTGTATGTGGAAAGGAGGTTTATTGAGAGTCAAGATCTTGACAAAGTGTGTGTAACACCCACGCTCACTTCCTGTTCCTGTTGTGAGGTGTCCCTCAAGTCATCATCCTTGGTCACGCTTCAGTTAAAATCTCCCCGGAGGTCTGCCAGCACCCTCTCAGGCTCCTCTTTCTCATGCCAGGCCCCCTCAGTCATCTCATCGGCTCTCAAACTTCTAGAATTTAAATTCAGTTTTAGATTCATTTGCAAAGACGTCCGCACCATTATTTAAGTAAATTTTTTACACAAACCCTTTGTTGTAGATGTGACAAATATAAGATACATAGGACTTAATAATTAATATTGCATGTATTATGTAAGAGAATAGTACAATATACTAAATACAGCTGTGTTCTGAGTTAAATACAATGACACATTCCATATAAATCTCCAATTAATGCATTTTACAGGCTGTTCTGTTCCTGCTCAAATTCACTGTAAAAAAAAATGCAATGCCGCATAAAAGCCAGACTGAAATATTTCTGCTCTGACCCATCTCAGCACTTAGTATCAAAATATAATGTTGCATATGGCTGTGTAAATGCATTTATGCAACCTCAGAGCAGCATTACACTGTCTGTGCAAAAGCGCCTAAATTCTACTTCAGAACTGCAGTGCCAGCTTGTTTTGCAGTGTAAATTTGTATATTTCAAAAAGGGAAATTTTGAAATCGATAATTCTGGTCGTGGAATCTGATTGGTCAATACAGTGTTACAGCCATGCCAACATTCATGATGTATTAACAGCTATTAACGCGTTCTGTTATTGTTGGTGAGTTTATCCTTATAATCTTAATAAATCAACTTTGCTGGATTAAAAGACCCATTTTTTATTAAACAAACGGCTCTGTCTGTCGTTGGTGAGCTTCTAACTATTCTGCCAGCTCGAAATTCTAGTGAAAGCAGGTCAGGAGAGAAGCTTTGATTATTAATGAAGTACATAGTCTGGTAATGGTAAAACCAAGAACGTAGCAGAATAGCAGAATAAAAAGGCTCGTTTAAGATATTTGCTCTCAAATTGTTATTGTGCACCGATACACACACGTTTCTGACTTGTTGACGCACTTATATCGTCCTCCTCTTATCCTGTCATTTTCTTTCTGTCATTTTTTACCTCTGTGGTGGATATAGACATCTGTGGTCTTTTTCAGATGTCATCCGCCATTCAGTTTCATTCATATTGGCAGACTGGTGTGTGCAATCTATTGATAGAACTCTGTGTGTATGACTAGATTATGAGCCAGTCACACCCTGTTTCTCATCTCAAGTGTATGTTAAGAGAAAGAGATAGTGAAAGTAGGGAAGAAGACGATACATGATATGAAGTTGAGTGTAGCACTTTTAGCTCTATCTAATACATATATCATTAAGTTAGTATTTTAGCTTCTAGAGTTTATCTTCTGGACAGTTGTGGGTGTTCAGTCATTTATTCATTCAGTTAGTCAGATGGGCCTGGTTTATACCCTCTGCTTCTTTTATTTGGTGTTTATTCTCTCTCTCCTCCTACAGGCTTTGGCATGCTGCTCCTCTGCTGTGTGTGTGTGTTTGCTTGACTCTCAGACCTTTTTTGGGCACGAGTTTGTATTGACGTGTTGATTGTTTGATGTTGTATTGCATGTTTTGTTGTTGACACGTGCATCCTCATACATCATATGTCTCCTTTATAGGATGAGGGCTTGGTCAAGGAAATCAGCATCACTCACCACGTCAAGGAGGGCTCGGAAAAAGCGGACACACGACAGTTTGAACTCTGCAAGGTGCTGGGCCAGGGATCTTTTGGCAAGGTGAACTGCTCACATATGTGAAAATCGAACGTTATCCGTTTTTATTATTGTGTTTACATGCAGAAGCATCATTCTGTTGGTTTTCATTTAATGGCGCATGCTTCTGCAGGTATTCCTTGTCAAGAAGATAACTGAGCCCGATGCAGGACAGCTCTATGCTATGAAAGTACTAAAGAAAGCTACATTGAAAGGTGTGTGTGTGTTTGTATATTGTTTTATGTGTTGACAACTTCTTTAAAAGCATTTGCTGTCAGTGCATTATTATTGAAGTTGCACAAACTGAAAAAGGAAGTTTTTATAATGGGGATTTATAATGTTTTTTTTTGGGTGTGTGTGGTTTCAGTACGAGATCGAATGCGTACAAAGATGGAGAGAGACATACTAGTTGAGGTCAACCATCCTTTTATTGTTAAACTGCACTATGGTGAGTTATTGACATCCCATCACCAATCAGATTCTTACGCTTCATGGTTGTATGTTTCTGTTGAACTTTAATTGAACTTGGAGTACAACTTCTTATTACTAATTATATTTAAATGCATGTGTTACAAATCTTGAATCTTTTCTTTTGATTCCTCAGCATTTCAGACAGAAGGCAAACTCTATCTGATTCTGGACTTTCTCAGAGGAGGAGATCTCTTCACTCGCCTGTCCAAAGAGGTGAATTACGTGTCTAGAGACAGAAAAATCCAACATGTACAAGTATTTTTTTTTATGTTTTTGAAAGAAGTCTCTTATTCTCACCAAGGCTGCATTTATGTAATCACAAATACAGTAAAAACAGTAATATTGTGAAATATTATTGCAATTTTAAATAACTGTTTTATAATCTAATATATTTAAAAAATGTAATATATCCCTATGATGGCAAAGCTGAATTTTCACAGTGGCGGGCCGTGCATTTTACACCTAGGCCTTCAGTGGCGTCCTACATGAATTAATCCATCTCTTCATACCATCATAATGATGCCACGGCTATAGAAACCATAAATATTACACAGTAATGCAGTATAACAGGGCACTACATAACCGCATTCATGGAAAAATATATTAAAACTAAATCAGTGATTCTGATAGTGTTTAGGCCAGCAGAGAAGACTTTGCTGGCCCTGACGGCCCACCACTGAATTTTCAGCATCATTACTCCAGTCTTTAGTGTCACACGATCCTTTAGAAATCATTCTAATATACTGATTAGTTGCTCAGTAAAAATTGTATTATCAGTCAAAATGGCTGTTTAATATTTTTGTGGAAACTGTGATCAGTTTTCTTCAGGACTCTTTGACAAATAGAATGTTTAAAAGCACAGCATTTATTTAAAATAGTTTTTGTAACAATGTAAGAATCTTTACTGTCACTTTTGATTGATTTAATCCATCCTTGCTAAATAAAAATATCAATTTCTTGCAAAAAAAAATCGACGTTTGAATGATAAAATAATGTAAGAATAGATGAAGTTCTGCTAATTCTTCTACCCCCTTTTCATGTCTTTATGTAGGTGATGTTTACAGAGGAGGATGTAAAGTTCTACCTTGCAGAGCTGGCTTTGGCCTTGGACCATTTACATGGACTGGGAATCATCTACAGAGATCTCAAACCAGAAAAGTATGCTTCTCACCCACGTATTAAGTAAAGTTGTGAGGTGTCTCGACTCAGTACAACAGCAAAGTGCATAGTAACTACATGTTTAAGAACACATTATATACCACAAATATTTGAATAATTCTAATTCTAATCAATAAATAATTGTAATATATCCACATATTACGATGTTTCTAATAATCACACTTTGACTAACTCAATGTATTGCACATTTGCATAAGAGAACTAAATTTGGATCTCTTTCAGTATTCTTTTGGATAATGATGGACACATCAAACTTACAGGTATGTGTGTTTTATCACTAATAATGATAACTTGGTATATAACAATCTTGAATGAGTTTGTCATAGTTTCAGATTTGTCTTTTTGAGCATTTTGTCAGAATCTCACAATGATAAGTCTTAGTGCGTGTAAGATTTGTTGTGTCTTTGTGTGTGTTTCCTAGACTTTGGGTTGAGTAAAGAGTCCACTGACCATGAGAACAAGGCATATTCATTCTGTGGTACGGTGGAATATATGGCTCCAGAGGTGGTCAACCGCAGAGGTCACACTCACAGTGCTGATTGGTGGTCCTACGGTGTGCTAATGGTAAGAGGGTTAATATTGTATTTGTATATTACAACATAATTTTTGTGTCACAGTGCAGTGATTATGATGTATTTCTACCTCCTCAGTTTGAAATGCTGACCGGAACGCTTCCATTCCAGGGGAAAGACCGAAAGGAGACCATGACAATGATCTTAAAGTAAGTCTTATTTACTCAAAACGCTGATCTTTATAATGGAGTCTTTGTACTGACGTTGGTTTCTGTGTCTCCAGGGCCAAGCTGGGCATGCCTCAGTTTCTTAGCCCAGAGGCCCAGTCCCTGCTCCGCAATCTGTTCAAGAGGAATGCTGGCAACCGCTTAGGTGAGGAAAGCTCATTTTCTACTAGTTTTCCAAGAACAGGTTGTACATGCTGAGTAAATTTGGTGAATTGCAGTCTGTTCATTGATTGTTGGGGTTGGAATTTCAGGAGCCGGGCCTGATGGAGTAGAAGAGATCAAAAGACATTGGTTCTTCAGCACAATTGACTGGAATGTACGTTTTTTTTTTTATGTCAAATAAGTTTTTAGTCAGTCATCGAATAACCTTGCAATAATCACAAGTTCCAGGATTCATTTTCTTATATGCGGAATCTAAGTTTTAAGAAAAATTTATGATTCACAGATATAATGAATCCATAAGTAAAAAATCATCTAAACATCCTCATGTTGCCGCTGTGATTAGAGGCTTTTTCCATCTATTAAAGGGGACATCGGATGACCGTTTTTCACAAGTTGGTATGATTTTTTTTTAGGGTCTTCATGAAAAGTCTGCAACATACTTTGGTTAAAATTCCTCAATAATTCTGTAAAACAACACCCTTTTACCTTGTTAAAAACAGCTCTGTTCACAGTGACCTGTTTCAGTGCATGTCTCTTTAAGTGATAATGAGCTACTGCTCACCCCACCCCCCGTTTTTTGAGTATTGGTGGCGTTTTACCGTCTAAAACAAAACTAATCCACTGCATCCTCAGTGACTCGTGTTCACTTTAACATCCAACTACAAAACACCTGCTTTGCTTATGAGACACTGTTGTCGCTTTAGCTGCTCGAGCGTGGAGAAAACGACGGACAGCATACTACCGGCTGAGGGCGGAAATATGCTAATACGGGACAGTCCGTCGGCGATGATGTCATACTGCTCAGAAAATCAAAACGGCTTGATAATTGAGACTGTTCAGGTTTTTGGGGGATTTAAAAAAAATAGATTTTTATCATTGTAGGCTGGTTGTGTCTACACACTGCTTAGACACATTTATATGCAAACGCCATGTAAAAGTGAATTTTGTATCCGATGTCCCCTTTAATATTGTTTAGATTTTAGCCAAAATTGGATATCTAATTGTATATGTGCATTTCCTCTATTTTAACTTTTAGATTACCTTTCTGCCATCAACTGTTCACAAAGTTAATCTTTAAAGCATTAATAATTTAATCAAATTAAAATGAATATCCATTTTTCATACTACACATTATAATGTTGTGATGCCTAACTTCACTTGTACAATTTAAAACGTATTTTTGATTTATTTACACAAACTAGTATAGAATTTCAATATTGACGATTTAACAATAATTATTGGCTTATCAGTGTCAGCTATAATTGTAACATCAGTGCACTAATTTTTATGCATTTAGTTTCTTTAAAAATATATTTTAAATTTAAATGAGTTTTTCCCCCCTCTAGAAATTATACAGAAAGGAAGTGACTCCTCCCTTTAAACCAGTCATCCAGAGGCCAGACGACACATTTTACTTTGACTCGGAGTTCACTGCCAAAACCCCACGAGGTGTGTGTGATGCAAATATAATGTATTATATTATAATCCCAACAATCTACTGGTACTCAGTTTTTACTTTTTCATTTGTCCCAGACTCTCCTGGTGTCCCTCCAAGTGCCAATGCCCATCAGCTCTTCAGAGGGTTTAGCTTTGTTTCCCCTGGAGTAGAAGAGGAGAGCCAGCCACCCATTCAGAGCAACCTCAACATGAGCGGCATACTGCAGGTATCCTTGCGTCACTCACACACACTCACACACTTCTCTCACACCTGCAACATGGGAATAAAGTGTATGCATGTATGTCATACAGCAACCCCAACGGAGCACGCTTCAGTTCACGGATGTATATGATGTTAAAGAAGACATTGGTGTGGGCTCTTACTCCATCTGCAAGCGCTGTGTGCACAAGAGCACAGGCATGGACTATGCAGTCAAGGTAAATATATCTCTACATCTGTTTTGTTACTGATGTCTTCATGGTTCTTATAGTTTTATAGAGAGCTGTGTTGGCAGTTCTGATTGCTTTGTCAGATGTAAAAGAGGTGTGTCAAAGTATTAATTGGTTTTTCCATGTGTATTCATCACTACCCTTCACAAGTTTAGGGTTGGTATGATTTTAAAAGAAGATTCTTATGCTCACCAAGGCTGCATTTGGTTTCAATGGTTGGATTGCAGATTATCAGTAAGGAGAGGAGAGATCCAACAGAGGAGGTTGAGATTCTGCTGCGTTATGGACAACATCCCAACATCATCACTCTGAAAGACGTGAGTGATTGTTTGTGTGCCTGTAGGACACTTATAACCGTAAAGTCTCAGGTTTTGTCTCCTGTTATTCTGAGTCTTTATGGGTTTATAGGTATTCAATGATGGGCGATCGGTGTACCTGGTCACAGAGTTGATGAAAGGTGGAGAACTACTGGATAAAATCCTCCGACAAAAGTTTTTCTCTGAGAGAGAGGCCAGTGCTGTCCTGCACACCATTACAAAGACTGTTGAATATCTGCATGCCCAAGGGGTAAGAGCATTCTCGCACACACAGCAAACATTACTGATTAAGATTTAATTTAGCCAGGATAATTAAGTACACTGTTAACCATTGAAATGTCTTTTTTGGTGTGCCTTCAATCAAACTCGTATGCATCATTATTATTATATATTTTTTTAAAGTTATTTTTATTTATTTAAATGCATATTTTAGATGTATATATTTATTATGAGTTGTTATGGTTCATAGATATGCACTTTGGTTATTAAATAAATATATATATATTTATATATATTTTTTAATAAATAAATATTTATCAAGGTAAATAGATTGTCACTTTGGTTACAGGTAGTACACAGAGACCTAAAGCCCAGTAATATCCTGTACGTGGACGAATCAGGCAACCCAGAATCAATCAGGATCTGTGATTTTGGTTTTGCCAAACAACTCCGAGCAGAAAATGGACTGCTGATGACACCATGCTACACTGCTAACTTTGTTGCTCCAGAGGTACCTTTTGATTTGTTTTAGATGAGAGGCTAGATATATCTATATTATATTATTTTTGTAAGTTATATTCAATACTCTGTTATTATTTGTGTTTGTGTTATCCCCTCAGGTCCTGAAGAAGCAAGGCTATGATGCAGCCTGTGATATCTGGAGTCTTGGAGTTCTCCTTTATACCATGCTTACAGGGTACTTTAACATACTATACAAGTCAGATTTTATGCATGCATTTTTCTGTTGCATATAGATCTTGATTTTGTTCAAAAACAATATTCATATCAGTTTAAAAACTCGCCGCTCTTATCCATCCTTCAGGTTCACTCCGTTTGCTAATGGCCCGGAAGATACACCGGAAGAAATTCTGGTTCGGATTGGCAGTGGGAAATTCTCGCTTTCTGGAGGATATTGGAATTCTGTATCGTTCGAGGCTAAGGTTGAAGGCCCTCCTTTTGTTTATCAGACTTCCTTAGCCTCATGTATATGTATTTGATGTATAGTCTTTAAACCTCTTTGGTGACAGGACCTGGTCTCAAAGATGCTTCATGTTGATCCTCATAAGAGATTGACTGCTGCTCAAGTTATTCGTCACCCATGGATAGTCAACAAGGACCAGCTACCAAAATACCAACTTAACCGCCAGGATGCACCTCATCTAGTGAAGGTTTGCTTTGCAATAATTCATTGTCACCCCAACAGTCCAGTATTATCATTATAATTAGGGCTGGGCAAGTTAACGCGTTAATTAACGCCGACAATTATTTTATCGCGCATTAACACAGTTTTTTATTATTATGAAAGTCTGTTGCTCACTGGCTCTGAATATACATACAGACAAACCATGGGTCACAGGAGGGGTGGGATGTTGATCAGTACTGGCTTGGGATGGGCGTCATCATGCATCTCAACCAATGTGAGCATTTGGGGTGGGCCTAAAGACTGCAGCAGCGCTCACATGAACGCTCCCGATAAAATTATTTAGGCTAAACATCAACATTCACAAACCACTGTTCCCTGTTATTTTAAACAGAAAAGCAAGCATGGGCTGCTGCGTGCATGCCATGGCTCCCTTTATTATCATTAAAAAGCTGACATCTCAATCAATCAATGAATATATGCACAATGAATCTTCCATAATGTCTACACTTCATGTGTTAATGAGAGGATTCGTAAGCACGCAATTTTCAGCACGGCGTAAGAACTTTTGAGCGGTGAGTGAATTCTAACTTAAATACCTTTGATTGGCCAATGCGTTCCTGAAATCAACAGATCTGTGACTGTCTACATTGCTCAATGCGGCAAACACGTGTTATAAATAGAAACTGTCTATGCTTGTGCATGTTAATCATTCTTGTTATATTAGTTGTTCTTGTTGCTTTTGTGCAATAGAACAATTTATATATTGTTTTTAGATATTTTATGTTTAGATATGTCTGTTTTGCAGGAGTCCCGCGAATCATTTTCTTATCCCGTGCACACACACGAGTCTTTACCCGTCCACACTAGCCCATCAAGTGTTGTCCCACGCCGCACTCTGTTGCGCAGCATTGGGTCCCGCGATAGTGCAGGTCTCTACTCGGAAGGTGCCTGTTATAATGTTATGATCGAGGCTCTGGACTCTGAGCATAACTTTTTTCTATAACAAACTAGACAAAACGTTAATTCCCTGGCAGTGGCAAATAGCTTTGGTTTTATATTTAATTTGATTACAATAATGTTTAAGTTGGAGTTTACAAGAAATAATTTAACTGCTACTATGTAAAGGGAATACTGCTGTAAAAAAAGCACCTTATTTGTTTAAAGTGTTTGCAAACAAATGTTATTTCACTTTTGTTCATATAGCAGTACTTTTAAAATAAAAGCGATTTTATCGCAATACACTACTTTTGAATTCATAATTGAATTTTGAGCATAACAGTGCGATTAATCGCAGAAAATCATGCGATTAATCGCGATTTTTAATCGTTGCCCAGCACTAATTATAATACTTAATGCTTCTGTTTGACTCCGTATTCTTATTATTTTCCCCTTTTATCTCAGGGAGCAATGGCAGCCACGTATTCAGCCCTGAACAGAAATGTTTCTCCCGTTCTGGATCCGGTGGGATGCTCCACACTCGCTCAGCGTCGTGGTGCCAAAAAGTTGACCTCTACCGCCCTGTGACCGTTCAGATTTAAACCCCAAACTACAAATGGCGCATAAATTTGTGAGATGTATGGTGGTTCTACTGTCGTCATGGAATGGCAGCCCAAACCAAAAAAAACAAACAAACACTTTTTTTTTTAGTTCTTGTCATTGATGCATCATCATGTAGAATGTTATAAAAAAGCTCTTAGGAGAATATTAAATTCATGTACAATTGTTTTATGAAAACACTCTAGAAATGTACTTCATATGGGATTATATATGAATATGAAAATATTTCTGTGAGTCTGTGTGGAGATAATGTATGATGTTAAGGGGCTGTGATTCACAGTTTGTTTTCTGTATTGTGGTGGTGGTGATGTCATGTCTAGCGATTGCATGGAGCCGTACTATTTCTAGTATTATTATCTGATCATAGCTGTGCCCACCCTCTTCAAGACAGACCTCACGTGCTGAAATGGCTTACTGAAGCTTTTCCTTTTGAAAGAAAGAGCTGTCAGTCAGTAATGCCACTACACGCAACTTTAGATGGTGCAACTTTAGATGGTTTAAACATGGTGCAGTGTTGAAACCATTTGTGAAATCAAAGAGAACTATGCAAGTTAACTTACAATCCTCATTGTATGTCCCTAGAGATGTAGTGTGTCACAAACCAAGAATTTTGTGTTGATATAGTGTTTTAATTGGGCAAAGTGGTCCAAAAACCCTTTGTCATGCACATGTGTCTTAAAGGGCATTTGATTTGCAAAAAAGGCAATCCAAATAGTGACCTCATTCTTTAAATCTTCTTCCTCTCCAGCAGACCAATACCCTTCATATAAGAGCTACTCATCAGAACTTATATGAGAACACTTGTATGCTGTATCTTTCATAATGGATATGGTAACATAATGTAGGAGCTGACGGTAGATGGATATATAAGGGCAGTTGTTGTTGTTTTTTTACTGGGAATGACCAATATACTGCTGTCTTACTGTCTTAAGTGATTCCTAACACTCCTTTTTTGTATTTCTTGATGTTCATTCTCTTCATGAAATTAAAGGGAAATATGCAGGCTATTAACCAAGATTGTTCCCGTTTTCTCAATCATAATTTTAAAGACTATTCAGAATGTATTATTTTATACCTGGCAATTAACTGTTTTTTTTTTTAATGTTAATGTATATGTATGTCTGAATGTGAGGCCACATGTTTGGTGAGACTCGGGCCACAGACGACGTCTGCATGTTCTGGAATTAATTTACATGAATTAGTTAAACTGTTCTTTTTTTATTGTTGCTGCTGTATTTTAATAATAACAGTGCAAGTGAGAAATATGTCCTAGTGATCTCTTCTGGCCACTATTGTGTAACACTGGCCATGTATTTTTGCAGCACGGTTGTGCTTGAGAGAGCAGGTTTTTACCCCTGTATTAAAAAACAATCTGATTAAGTTGAAGTAAAATAAATCTTGCAATTCAGTTTTATGTTTTTCTTCGAATTACTCCGCAGCATTGAAACCTTTAAAATGTATTGTCCTCGATGAACACGTTTTGGCGCTTTGTATTTCCAGCCCAATGAAATTGTGTCTTTGAGAGTATAAATAAAGTTTTTATGTAAAATAGTGTTTTGCGCAGGCGTGGATTACTGCTTAAGCGGAAGTCTTCAGAAAAAAAGGGAGAGGGGAACTATTTGACGTCCTCCTCCTTGAAATTTAACATTTCTTTATTCAAATACTTTGTTACACGACATCACCGAACAAAGACAGCAGTATTTGTAATCCGAACATGCCAAAGAATAAAGGTAAGGGAAATATAACACTTTATAGTGTTTGAGCAGTTGTTAACGGAGCGGAATGAAGTCGCCCGGCCTGCGCGAGCAATGCGGCCGCAACGTGACCAGCACCGGCGCTCCTCACTCAAACTACGAGCTCTCAGGCGCTAAGGCCCTGTGTCCACCAAAGCGTTTTTCCCCGCGGCTAGCGTGTGTTTTCAGTTGTTCTCAATGGGAGCGCCGCGTTTTTTAAAACGCCAGGAGCGTGCCGAGCGCTGAGCGTCTTTTTCGCGCTGAGCGCTGAGCGTTCGGGCGAGCATCTCAACTGAAAAAGCGCTGCGCCACAAAAAGCGCTCTCAAGCGCTCGCAGCTGGGCGTTTTCAGCAGAGCGCCTGGCGTTTTCAGCTGGCTAAAAACGCTTTGGTGGACACAGGGCCTAAGCGAGCAGTCGCTAGTTGAGCTGTAGTATATTTTTACGATGCTGACACTGATGTGTATAACCAGACCGTTTGTGGCCTGTAAAGTTACCCTTTCTGTGTGTTGCATCATTACGCGGGTATGCGGCGACAACTGCCTTTTGTATGTTATTTGTGTGTAGTTTTTACCCCTGTATTAAAAAACAATCTGATTAAGTTGAAGTAAAATAAATCTTGCAATTCAGTTTTATGTTTTTCTTCGAATTACTCCGCAGCATTGAAACCTTTAAAATGTATTGTCCTCGATGAACACGTTTTGGCGCTTTGTATTTCCAGCCCAATGAAATTGTGTCTTTGAGAGTATAAATAAAGTTTTTATGTAAAATAGTGTTTTGCGCAGGCGTGGATTACTGCTTAAGCGGAAGTCTTCAGAAAAAAAGGGAGAGGGGAACTATTTGACGTCCTCCTCCTTGAAATTTAACATTTCTTTATTCAAATACTTTGTTACACGACATCACCGAACAAAGACAGCAGTATTTGTAATCCGAACATGCCAAAGAATAAAGGTAAGGGAAATATAACACTTTATTGTTTGAGCAGTTGTTAACGGAGCGGAATGAAGTCGCCCGGCCTGCGCGAGCAATGCGGCCGCAACGTGACCAGCACCGGCGCTCCTCACTCAAACTACGAGCTCTCAGGCGCTAAGCGAGCAGTCGCTAGTTGAGCTGTAGTGTAATTTTACGATGCTGACACTGATGTGTATAACCAGACCGTTTGTGGCCTGTAAAGTTACCCTTTCTGTGTGTTGCATCATTACGCGGGTATGCGGCGACAACTGCCTTTTGTATGTTATTTGTGTGTAATTCAGTTAACTGGTTCGTTTAAAACAAGCAAGTTATTTTATCCTGCATGACGGGCAAGTTTATGGTATATTAACCAGGTTGAAGTCTGACATAAAATAATAGTGAGAAAATGACTTTTTTTGTGTGTGTTTTTAAATAAAACCGTTTATTGGACTTTACCTCAAAATCTAAAATTGTCACTCTATGTCCCCTGATAATATAATAATAATAATAATATAGTCTAGAAATATTTAATGCTTAATTTTATGATAAAAGCCCAGTTTTGTAGAGCAACCTCTGGCTTTGGAAAGGTGCTATAAAAGTTTAAAAAAATATTATTATCATTATTATTAATCAAAAACCTGTTGTTTCACATTTGATCAATGTTAACATTTGTATTAATAAATAAAAGATAAAATAATACTTCATCACGTAAACCTAAGTTGCTTCAGTCCAATAAATGTTCATCTTGAAATATTGCTAACGATATAAAAGTTATGCATGTTTAAGATTATTAAAATGTAAGATTATGTATGATGAATACACTAAAAGGAATTATACTAAAAGGCCTTGTACTTACTAAAAAAAGTATAAACTACTATCAATCAGAGGGCAAAAGGAATGTATCATTCTTGTATCAGATATGATACAGCAGGCTGTATAGGGTTAATGTGAATATTCTGAGCGAAAATAAAGGCCTATCAGCCCTATTACTACATATACAGTGTGTCACGTGTATGTAAATAGATGTACAAGTGTCTATTGGGTTTTAATTGAATCCAATATTGTAGCTTTTGGAAAAGGTGATATCCAGGATGAGAGAGGGAACTGAAATATAGGGGAAGATCTCATATCTGCTTATTACGTACAAGATAATTCAAAGTGTTAATTTCTTCTCTGTAGGTAAAGGAGGTAAAAATCGGCGGCGTGGTAAGAACGAGAACGAGTCGGAGAAGAGAGAGCTGGTTTTCAAGGAGGATGGCCAGGGTAAGGAAACATACACAACATGTGGGATAGAATTCAAATCCGCCAATAGTTTGGCCATCTGTAAATGATGTGCAAATAAATGACAATTTTCACCTCATCAGTTTTACTCAAAGGTTTGAGGTCAGTAAGTGTGTATCATATTTGATAAATGTTAACATTTAAAATAAATAATTTTAAATGATTTCTGAAGGATTATGTGGCACTGAAGACTGGAGTAATGATGCTGAAAATTCAACTTTGCCATCACAGGAATAAATTACATTTTAAAATATATTAAATAGAAAACATTTAATTTAAATCGTAATAATATTACTCTTTCTGTTGTATATTTGTTTGGTTCTTCCAAAAACATTAAATCCTATTGACCCCAAATGTTTGATCTATAGTGTGTGTGTGTGTGTGTGTGTGTGTGAAGAAACCAGTTCAGTTATCCAAGAATTACCTTTGTCTTGTGCCAGAATATGGTCAGGTGATAAAAATGCTGGGAAATGGACGGCTAGAGGCCATGTGCTTTGTGTGTTTTTAAATAAAACCGTTTATTGGACTTTACCTCAAAATCTAAAATTGTCACTCTATGTCCCCTGATAATATAATAATAATAATAATATAGTCTAGAAATATTTAATGCTTAATTTTATGATAAAAGCCCAGTTTTGTAGAGCAACCTCTGGCTTTGGAAAGGTGCTATAAAAGTTTAAAAAAATATTATTATCATTATTATTAATCAAAAACCTGTTGTTTCACATTTGATCAATGTTAACATTTGTATTAATAAATAAAAGATAAAATAATACTTCATCACGTAAACCTAAGTTGCTTCAGTCCAATAAATGTTCATCTTGAAATATTGCTAACGATATAAAAGTTATGCATGTTTAAGATTATTAAAATATAAGATTATGTATGATGAATACACTAAAAGGAATTATACTAAAAGACCTTGTACTTACTAAAAAAAGTATAAACTACTATCAATCAGAGGGCAAAAGGAATGTATCATTCTTGTATCAGATATGATACAGCAGGCTGTATAGGGTTAATGTGAATATTCTGAGCGAAAATAAAGGCCTATCAGCCCTATTACTACATATACAGTGTGTCACGTGTATGTAAATAGATGTACAAGTGTCTATTGGGTTTTAATTGAATCCAATATTGTAGCTTTTGGAAAAGGTGATATCCAGGATGAGAGAGGGAACTGAAATATAGGGGAAGATCTCATATCTGCTTATTACGTACAAGATAATTCAAAGTGTTAATTTCTTCTCTGTAGGTAAAGGAGGTAAAAATCGGCGGCGTGGTAAGAACGAGAACGAGTCGGAGAAGAGAGAGCTGGTTTTCAAGGAGGATGGCCAGGGTAAGGAAACATACACAACATGTGGGATAGAATTCAAATCCGCCAATAGTTTGGCCATCTGTAAATGATGTGCAAATAAATGACAATTTTCACCTCATCAGTTTTACTCAAAGGTTTGAGGTCAGTAAGTGTGTATCATATTTGATAAATGTTAACATTTAAAATAAATAATTTTAAATGATTTCTGAAGGATTATGTGGCACTGAAGACTGGAGTAATGATGCTGAAAATTCAACTTTGCCATCACAGGAATAAATTACATTTTAAAATATATTAAATAGAAAACATTTAATTTAAATCGTAATAATATTACTCTTTCTGTTGTATATTTGTTTGGTTCTTCCAAAAACATTAAATCCTATTGACCCCAAATGTTTGATCACCTGTGTGTGTGTGTGTGTGTGTGTGTGTGTGTGTGTGTGTGCAAAGAAACCAGTTCAGTTATCCAAGAATTACCTTTGTCTTGTGCCAGAATATGGTCAGGTGATAAAAATGCTGGGAAATGGACGGCTAGAGGCCATGTGCTTTGATGGGGTCAAGCGACTCTGCCACATTCGAGGAAAGCTCCGGAAAAAGGTAAGCTGATGTTAATGATCTGTAGGTTTATGGATCCGAATGACTGTCATATTTCTATGGCTGTATAGATAATTTGATGTAATTTTGCTCATTTTACCTCTCTTATTTCTGCTTACCTAGAAGACAACCTAAAACGGACACAACTTTTTTTTCTTGCCTAAGTATTAAACATACTGTCATATCTCCTTTAGGTTTGGATCAACGCATCTGACATAATCCTCGTTGGTCTTAGAGATTACCAGGTAGGTTTTTTTTTTTTGTGTGTGTGCAATTTGTCAATTGATATTTTATTATGAAATGAAAAGTTTTTGAATTCTTGAATATGTATTTCACAGGATACCAAAGCAGATGTCATTTTAAAGTACAATGCAGATGAGGCCCGCAGTCTTAAAGCCTATGGAGAGCTTCCAGAACACGGTGAGTCTCAAACTGGCCTTACTGATTTCTGTTTACTGGAAATGTTTTATGGAAATGTCATGGTACTAAAACAAATCGCCCACAATTGTAAATGTCAGATGACGTAGATGCATGCAAGTGAAGGCTCTTGGCTAATCTTCTATCTTTCCTGCAGCTAAAATCAATGAAACTGACACATTTGGACCTGGAGACGATGATGAGATTCAGTTTGATGATATTGGGAGTGACGATGAGGACATTGATGACGTACGTGTTTGATTTGTTTTTATCATGACACTTTTTTTTCTTTCTTTTTTATAAGTGACAAATATCGAAGTGCTGGAATTTGAGTTTTTATTGCCTGTATTACTATATTTCTGCTGTACTAAAAAACTAATATACACTAATATTCAAAAGTTTGGTGAGTTTATTTATTTTTTACATGTTAAATGTAACATGTTAAAAATCGCACAGTAATGTAAAATGTTACAAAAGATTCCTACTTTCTAGAATCCAGAAAAAAATTGATCCGTTTCCACAAAAATATTAAGCAGCATAACTGCTTTCAACATTAAATAATAAAAAGAAATGTTTCTTGAGCACCAAATCCACATATTAGAATGATTTCTGAAGGATCATATGACACTGAAAACTGGAGTAATGATGCTGAAAGCTACATTAAAAAAAAAATGTTATAATAGAAGTGTTATTTTAAATGGTCATACATTATTACTGTTTTTACTGCATTTTTGATTAATTAAATGTAGCATTGTACAGCATATAAGGGGCTGTTCACACAGAATGCGTTTTTCCATTCCAATACGCTACTTTTCCATTGTAAATGCACTAGACAGACGCAAAGATGCATTCTGTGTGAATGGCCCCTAAGAGTCTTTAACAACATTAAGAAACTGAAGAAAACTGAAAAAGTCTTATTGACCCCAAACCTTTGAATGGTAGATATAGATGTTGATAAGCAGTAACTTTATGAAAACTGAATGGTTTAACTGTGTCTGACTGCTCTGGTCTCTCAAGCATCTCTTTTAAGGTTAGAACAACATACGGAAGTGTTTGGAAAAACCTGTACATTTATGTGTTTGTTTCTGCCCTCTCTCACAGATCTGAGTCACGACTGCTGGTGGGTTATATTGTTTACACTGAGAGGAGAGAAAACTTTCTTGTTTGGGAAAAATTGCAGCTTGGGCATAACTGATGCCCCATATCCTACTGCAACCTCCCTCAGAGAAACACTCGGAGGCTTACTGCTTATCTCTATCTGTTTCTCTCTCTCCACTTTCTGTCTCTCATCTCGCTACAGGTCTTCTCCGAGCATTCTGACTGTCACAACAATCGCGCCCTTTCTCATTCAATGACAACCACACAACACAGACTGCATAGTTTTGTTATGATTTTAAAGTATTTATATTGTATTTCACTGTATGTAGTGGAATTTAAAATGCAAAGAAATCCAGAATTTACAATAAAAAGTCAAGCCTTTTATCTGTTTGGACTGAATTTTATTTCTTGTATAGTTGCTTTCTTTTTTTCTGTATTATATTTTCTCCATTTACACTGTCTCTTCATGGAATTTGCATGCATTTCTGCTGGGCCTGAAAAAAATATAAATTAAATTTTTTTTTTTGTTCCCCCTCAGTTTGTACGGAATGGAAGTAGCAGTAACCTATTTTGTCCACTAGTTGGCAGTAGGGACTGAAATGACTATTATCTAATTTCTTTGTTTCCTAATAATGAGTTGATTACAAATCATACAGTCATAACCGTAGGTAGATATTTCTGTCCTTGAGGTTTACAGGTTCTGGTTAAAATGGCAATAGTCTCGATAAGTATTAGAGGTTTTCAGGTTCTGTGTAGAATTAATTTTTTTAGACCTTAGTTTAGTCACGCAGTAGTAAGTTTGGATGTTGTCTGGAGTCGATCTTGTCTACTGTTGGACTAAGAGAAGTACTGACCCACTTCATTTGGACTCGTTACTGGCAGTCCTGCTGCCCTCCGGCTGTATCAGACAGCCACGTTTCATCCATATCACATGGCCCATCTCCACAGAGGAGACCCAGCAGTGACCTCAAACGTCGCGGTTAGATACCTGTGATGCAGTGTTGGTCATTTGACTGCTACTAATGTTTCTTTTGACCCCTTTTTGAGCAAATTCGAAGTGTAAATGAGGCTTTTCACACTTAAAATGGTTAATTCTGAAAAAGAATTAACCGTGTTTTACACTGTTCATCAAGAATCCACGTTACAATTAAAACCCCTAATGTCATCGTTCTTATTGGCATATTTATGAGGTCAGTGGGATTGAATGGACAAATATAGCTAGTGAGTGCACGCTACCTGCTTGTCCATCTGGGAAAAAGTGAAAAATTTCTCCACACACACACACTATGTATACATACATATATACATACAGAGCTGGGTAGTAACTGATTACCAATTTGAGTTGAATTACTGAAATAAATGAACTTTCCACGACATTCTAATTTATTGAGATGCACCTGTATAATCTGAATTAGCCTACGTAATCAGATTCCAAAATTTAAGGACATTTAATTAGATGAAATTACATTTTAAAATACTCGTAATCAGAGTACAGTTAGGCTGCATTTAATGGATTACATGATTACACAATAGCAATAATGTTTCAATAATCAACTACTGAAAATAATATCTGATCCTCTTTCACCTAATATATTTTTATTTGAAGTACCTGAAATTTTAAAATGTATTTTTATTTTTTTTTTAGTAATGAAGTAGGCCTATCACATTTGCATATTCATGGTTCTCTGACGTTGGTTATGGTCACAAGACATGCAGGTAAACAAATAAAATATTTCATTTTTTCAGCAAGTGTTTTATTTTGATTAATTGTAAAATTGTTTTAATTTAACATTTTTATGATTTAATTAATGATTAACTTCTCATTAAACTCATAAACCCCATTTTGGGAAACCTTGACTTATAAACGTTTAATACACTTCATGTCAACAAATGGAATATATGTTCTTTGTATTTTTATAGGCTATCAGTGACCACACAGGATTATCCTATTTAACTCAATGTGAAAAACGAGATCGTTCAAAAGTAATCTAAAAGTAGTCTGATTATATTACCTAAAATGTGTAATTTATATGGATTGACCTACGTTAATAACTACAATTTCTGTCAATATAACATTTTAATTGATATTTCTTTCCTTTAATAATTGATTCGCCTAAATGTGTAATTTGAAAAGTTTTGGTTGTGAATGTGGACGTAGGCAGTCTTTTGTTTCTCGTAGACCTAAATCCGTTTCTCTGTCGTGGTTTTCGCCGCTGTGGATGACGTCACGCCGTGTTTCAGCACCACTGCGCTGTCAAGCCTCTCGCGACTCTCCTCTTCACCGGACAGAAGAACTTTCCTCTCAATCGATTCTTCACTGCAAACCTAACAATCTGCGATAGCGCCACAGAGCGCGTTCTGCTGAGAGTGTGGAAAGCGGATCGGGTCCCGGTAGCGCAGCGGCAGTCCAGGAAGAAGCTGGTAATGCTGTTTCTCTTGGCTTGATTTTTTTTGGGAGGTAGCGTTTTGCTGCGGCGCTGTCCGTGGCATTGCGGTTGGAAGAGCCGCCGGTGGACCGCGAAGATGGCGGAGAACGCTGTCAACACCGATGTCAGTACAACGACAGGTGAGCGACTTGCGCAAAGGTAACATTCCGTCAGTTGTGTTTGCATGTGCATTGGATGAGTAGGACAATGACTTGCTTACACACTCAAATTTCCATGCTTCTGATGCTACAGTGGGGCGAGGAAGAACAATGACGTGCTCATTCGAATCATTTCCTTCTCCAAAGCTTAAAGCTGCTGTCTGCTCTGGCAGACAAAACCCGCTGAAGCTATGATTTATGACGCGTTTACATCGTAACAGGCCTTGCTGCACTTCGAGACCGGTTTTTCATTTATTACTTTTACTTTTTTTTAGTTTAGCCTGTCTGTTGCACACAATTGTCGGCGCGACTCGATGCAGGGGTTTATTGTTTGTTTGATTGCTATCGTCAGATGGGGCAAGTCCATTATTTCTGTAGCCTACTGCGTTGCATTTTCATGGCATGGGAGGCTCTCGAAAGTTGACGGAGCGAGCACCGCCCAATGCTATGAAGTCAAACTCTGATGAGATTAGAGCCGTTAAGACTGAACCACGTCCATTTGCCAAATTAATTTAATGGAAAATCGATGGAGGGAGCTACATCCGGCTCAGGAGCTGCTTCAGTCGCGTGTGTGATCTAAGCAGCATCTGCAGAACTGTCGCTGTCCTAATGCATGTTACTTTTGTGTCCAAACATGTACATTTGACACACATATTGACAAATCATTGTAGCACACTTGTGTTTTGACAAGTGTAGGATAAAGTGTATTATAGTAGCATTAATAATAATAGTACATATCCTTATATACACTAGGTGTGTGTGTGTGTGTGTTTGTGTGTATGTGTGTGCAAATGAAATCGTATATTTATTATTATATTTATAGAACTAAATAAGCAAAGTAGGGTCTTAGATTGTCAAATGATTTCCTTCAAGAATATTTTTATTGATACCATTCTTAATATCGAAACCATTTATATAGAGCAGATATATAAAGATATTATATCAAGATATAATTATATGAAATACATTTTCAGACACATTAAGAAATGTGATTAGGTGTTGTGATGGTTGTTTCTTTGACAAGAATTTCAAATCATGTCTTTAGATGATTGAAAATATATTGTATGCTCTACCTCTATTGTCTGTAGTTAGACCTCATTATTGGCAGGAGTTTTCTGCATGAACATGGCATGAGTATTTTTAGTTGTAGTGCTGTGTTGCGTTGTTTATGGAACTATATGTCATTGAGCGCACACATTCTCAGTCAGCTTTATGTCCACTCTGCTTCTTATAGCAGAGGGTGTGTGTGTAATGGGAATAGAGCTAGGGAAGCGGAGAGGAAGAGAAAAAGCAAAGAGACGGAGCAGACAAAGGACACCATCATGAGTGAGCAATTTATTTAAAAGTCATGTCATGCAGAGGATAGAAAGGAGGTTGATAACTGACCTTACTGAACTAAAAAGAACATCTGACACAGTGCATTTTCACTGCTCTGTCAAGAACCATTTCGGTATTTATTTTTAGAACCAACTGTACCCTTCAAGGCACAAAATGTACATTTCTTCTGTACTAATCTGCCTAATTTATTGATTGTCAGTGAACAGTGTTTATGTGTTCTAGTGGATGCATGATATAACGTCTGACTCTATTAAGTGTACGTGTCTGTGAAATGACTGATTGACCTTATACAGTAGGTGAAGCAAAAGTAACTAGGCCACGGCTTCAGATTCATAATCCAGTCCGGAATGAATCAATGGTCTGTTCTTTGTCCTTGACTCAGAACAGAAATTAAAACTCTGTTTACCTTAATTTGTTCAACAGTAATTCTGTAATGCTCTGTTTTATCTCTTTTTATATACTTATATGTGTGTGTGTCTTTATAGCTCAGATACAATATCTCTGTTTAATAAGGCCAGCTATGTATCAAGGTCCCAAGCTTGCCATTTCAACCAGTTTTCATCCCTCTTGGTGTGTTCTTTTTTCTCAGCAGTCACTCAAGTAATGACATCACCTTTAACTCCGGAAAAGAGACCGCAAAGCAATAGCCATGCATCACCAACTTACCAGAAAACCAACCAAGGCAGTCCTTCTATAAAACACAGTAAGATCAGCCTACATTAATATGTAAAAGCACACATTTTAATTAAAAAGTGTGTGTGTGTGTGTGTATATACATTTCTCCTTCATCCTCGTCCTTTGTCTTCATCCTGAAGCTGATGCTCTGACCCCACCCACTGTCACCGAAAAGAAAACTCAAACCAACGGGCACGCTTCACCTTCACACCATCCACCCAATACCAACGCACTTGCAGGTAAACAATGTAAGTCCCACAGTTTCTGTTGGTGTCGTGTGGACGTCTTCTGTCTCATCTGATTATGTGTCTAAGAGCAGCTCAAGCTGTGTAAAAATGTCTAAGAGATAAAGTGTCTATTTTCCTTTGTTTTTATGTTTCCCTGTCTCTCTCTCTCAAAGATATGGAGGGCTATCTGAAGACAGATGATAGAATGAGACTTGCCAAGGAGAGACGTGAAGAGAGGGAGAGGAGTTTGGGTAAGTGTGTCTGTTCGTGTCTCTGAATGTGTGGGTGCAGTGAATTCAGATAAGTGACTCACAGGGGCGATTCTAAGATTTCGGAGGAATATGAGATGAAGGTTTAATCTATGCATGTGAGATGATTTTATTCAAATGAACTTACATTGCATCGAAGGTCTATATTTTATCAGTTCATGCATTCTTGGACCTATGATCTTAGTGTCACCATGATTTACTGTTTGAGCTACAGTAATGAATAAATGGAACATCATTTTCTAAATCAAATTAATATTAATAGTGGTGGTGTATTGCATTGCACATGATTTAGTGATTTTCACAGGACGCTAGATGCAGTGCAACTCAAGGATAACAAAACAACTTTTTTTTTCAACTTCACACATACATTAACACAATGCTAATTGCCAAAGGGTTTGTCCCATCTAGTGTATATTTACATAGACATTCCCTATGAGAACAGCCCCAAAATTGCTGAAGCTGTCAGTAACAATGATGATGAGCTTTGAGATTGCTGGTGTTGTTTCATAACAAGCCAAAATGAAGTAAATAGTTTCTCTCGCTCTCTCTCTCTCTCTCTCTCTCTCTCAGCTGCACGGGAGCAAGCTATAAAGGAGAAGGAAAGGCGGGCACAGCTGCAGTATGAGAAGACGGTGGAAGAGCGATGGAAGCGGCTGGAGGAGCAGAGACAGAAGGAGGAGCTTCGCAGAGCAGCCGTGGAGGAGAAGAGAAGACAGCAGCT